TTTTACTTTTTATAAACTTATGACAAATGCAATATGCATCCATGCACCTGCAAAAGCCAGCGTCACCAACTGAGGGAGCTGGGAATAACTCCACCTGTAGTACGGAGACGCGTCACAAGGCTAGAAATAGAGGGCATGAAATGAAAAATTGGGAAGGGGAAAGATAATTCTAACAGCTGGAACACAAAAGTCCATCATAAACAAAATCAGCAACAGAACAGAAAACGTTTAACCGTTAGTCAGAATAATATCATAAATAATAACGTAATCATAAAGCTACTGTACGTAAATAACTTGGAGCTTGATTTAAATTTCAAAAACTGATAGATTCCATGTTATGTAAAATATTTGATTTTCTGATCTTATCTTATTCCTTTAACGATAGAAAAATATTACTACGTCTGAAAAGTTAAAATATTATACTCACAACAGCAAAATAAATCATATAAAGAAGAACAAATTTAGCTTCCAGTGAAATGTTTGTTCACAATCTAGAATCTCCTGAATTCACGTTCTCACAACATAGTTCCTTACACCTCATTTAGAGGTAAGTCATTTCAGAAACAGCTTCAACAATTACAAATGTGTGCTGATATCACTTTCATTACATTTCTTTCTGCATCACAATCTAAAACATACTAATTCGAGCAAATAAAAGAAAATGGAACAATATAATTACATACCGTATAAATATTTCTGCATACCCTAACAACTTGCCTCAACAATTGAAACACCAATGGTGTCAACCTTAGCATCACATACCAAATTATACATTTGGGGAGTCTAATATGTACACATGTGGCAGACTGCAATACCACGAAAATTATACTACAAAAGGGGAAAGCATTCAAATGATATAAAACAGCACAGAAGTAGCATTCAATAATTCAATTAATACAAACATTACTATTAATCTTATTAAAGGAATCTGTAGTTCCATCATTAACTTTTTGAATACGAGCAATTTGTTAAATGGTTTGATTTTAACAAAATCAAACAGAAGAAAATCCTTGAGGTCTACCAAATCAAATTATAACACTGCGAAAATGACTTGTAAGTGGAGGGAAGAGCCCCAATTCAAACATCTGCATTATGCTCAGGAAGACACTTGAATACAAGTCAGTGGAACCAGTGGACAGGTGACTACTAGATTGGAATAGCACTGGGGACATTCATCGCATAATTACACTATTCTAAATGCGAGCATTTTTGCTTGATTTAGTGAAGACCTTAGAACATTTACTCAAAGCTTCAGCTAAGAGAAGACATGAAAGCCTTGACTAATACCTGCCTCAAAAGAGGTACAGTAAGGTATAATGGCACCATTGACTGATACAGAGCATATCACATTTAAAAGGCAGGAAGCTCACAAAATGAAACAATACACTTCTTTTGGAAAAAAGAAACAATGCAAGAAACAAGTCTGTATTCACAACAGTAAAACAAAAGCAATACAAATATAAAGAGGGTAATCACTCTAAAATGGGAGGTGCAAATAAATGAAGAGAAATGAATTATGTATACCAATTACTTGAAACGAGTACACACTGTGTTACACTGACTGACCTCTTCACACATGGTCTATGCAAAATAAATAGAAGCACTCCATTAACTCAAAGAATCTTAACTTAAGATTTTTTTTATCAGAAAAGCAATTAGCCTAACAGAATACACAAAACAAGTATTTTAAAATTGTTTGAGTATCCTAACCATTGCATTTCATCATCATCACAAGACATTTCACTCACACAATAGGGAAATATCGCAAATTTTGTTCTACATTGTGTTTTCCTGGCACCAGATGTGCAAAGGATGACATAAAAACCTCCAAGAATAGAAAACACAACAAAACAGACATGTGAGGTTAATTTTGAAAGCATAATGTTTGCCACAACTCTTACCAAAAAAAATTGTAATGAGCCACTGAGTAGTCTAAGCAGAGTAAACACAAAACCATGGCAACAATTTATCACACTTATATGTCAAATAAGTTTGTACAAGGAGCAAGAGCACAACAGCAAATTGAGATGGGTATTAAAAACCACCTACTCACGCTTAGGAAATAACAGTTTGGGTAGGGGAAGGTATTTAATATCAATAAAAGCATTAGGTTACCCATTGGGCAGATGCATGTGCGGACAAACGCCAAAAGAAAAGGAGTACAATGCAGGCAAGGCAAAGTAGAGATATTGTGATTCCGTCACAAAAAAGAAAAGAGCAAAAATCTCAAGGATTGAAAAGGTAATACTGTCAAATCAGACCCAAAATATTTGAAAATGGCATTTACAGATACAATTAGACATTAAGACTGTAAAAAGAAAATGACAACCAAATCAGATGCAAAATGTTTGATATATGAATGATATATGCAAATCTCATTGGGTAGCAAAGGAAATGCTTACAGAGGTGAAAAATTATTCTTTCCATGGTGAAGCTATATTTCAGCTTCATTTATCACGGGGCTCATTGTAAGTAACTATTTAACAAACATACATTCAATAAAAAGAAAAGAAAACAGTAACACGACAGTAGATAATTAAAACAATGAATTTAAAGAATGTCAAACAAAGCATTAAAACATTTTGCCTTGTCTTACCGTACTTTAAAATGAAAAGGCTTAGGGAGAAAGTCCAAAATTAACATTGATTTTATGATTCAAAAATATAGAAGAAACAGAAAAAATAAAACAATATAACCAGTTTAGAAAAAGAAAACGCTGCAAAGAATTAAACAGTATGACAGTAAGAAAAAATTGATTGCAACATTGAAGCATGAAAAAAATGATCATAAAGGAGGTAGAAATAAGTGTAAAAATGTGCTATACGAGAGGTATGAAGATTATGAAAATTCCTAAGGGAACAAAATTTTTACTTATTACACGTGAAAAATGAATATGCATTTAACAATGCATAAAATTGGAGGAAAAATATCAAGACTATTGGGCAGCCAATTTCCAGTTTTTTCACCAACACTAAGTACACCCTGAAAAATTTACCGTTAAAATTGTACTTCAAACCGTTCACAAAATATTATGAGAAAAGTAATACAAAGAAAAAATTATCTTGCAACTAAAACAATAGGATAGGTAATATTAATTGATATCTTTCAGGTTTTCACAATGGTTGGTCCATTCTTAATAAGCAGGTTTGTGAGAAAGACACACAAAATGATGGACCAGAAAAATGCCAATGAGCAAATACAAAAGAATTTAAAGCAGTCTATGAGTGGTAAGCAGTCACATACGTGGAAGGAAACAGTCCCTTGCGTGCACCAATTTCACCATGCCACCAATGTTGATCCGTGCGATCAGTGACATTAATGACATCTCCTCTCCTAAATTCCAATTCACCTGTTTCTTGAGGTGTGAAATCATATAGGGCCTGAACCAAACACTGCAAAGAATAAGAGAAGTAAATTAAAATATGGAACAGTTAGAACTAGTTGTATAAACAGAAAGAATAAACAATGTAATCTACCTCATCTGGAACCATATCACGTAATTTTACATCCTGAGAACGAGATACGGATGCTGTTCTGTGGTATTCAACGAGTTCATTCAAAGAATTGAACTTAACAACCCACAGGAAAAATTTACCCTGTGCATCTCTCAAAACTTTGAAGTGTTGAACTCCATCAGAGCATCTGCAAATGGATACAACATGACATAGTAATTATTAAGTTTAAACACTCTTGCATTGTAAAATCATCTATTAATTTTATCCTTTAAAAAGGGAAAAACAAAGACTCACTTGACAGACAGTGAGAAGTCGCCAGGGGAACTCTCGCTAACTCTGATGAGAAAAGCACCCTCATGTTTATTCAACAAAAGCTTCTCAGCATCTGCTCGAGTTATTCTTCCATAGTACCAGCTGTAAAAAGGGACAGATTCCAAGCTCTCAATACTACAAAAACTATGAGATGACTGATAAAGCTGAAATCTGTTATAAAATAGTTACAGAGCCCAAATGTAAAATAAATCAGGATTTAGTTGTGACACTTACTCATGGTTCTTCATCTCAATATAATTGCTGGGGATAAGGCCTTCCTTGCCCTCCAATTCAGCTCTATACCAATTCATATCATCCTCCATGTTAAGAATCTGTACAGGAAGAAGTAAAAATCAAAATTATTAAAAACATGAAAAAACTGCAAAACTCCCTAAAGACAGTATCTTGATATGTGATAGGTTTCATAAACCAACTTGGGTAGCATTTCATAGTTTTAATATGAGACATAAGAACAAGTTCTCAATATAAATTTTCAAGGCAGTGATGGCACACAGGAAAGAGATACCCGAAAAAGGATTGGGAAGGGCATTGACGGACACTGAACTTCCAAAAATTTCCCATGTGACAGGTTAATGTAATAGCGAAATGGAGAAGGACGTCACCACTGACAACAAATGCGTCAAATGGTTGGTTATAGGCCTAGGCTCAATGAGGAAAATTGCAGAATACAACCTTACCTTTAAAACCTGGTTTTTCCTAAAACTCAATTCGTCATCCGCCGTCGCGTTAAAGTCGTGTTTCGCTATAGCTTCCATTGTGAGTTTTCCAGAAACACGCCGATTCTTCTTGCTTTTACCTCGTTCTTGTATTTGATCAAGGTTAGTTCCGAGTTCGGGACAAGCTCACAAAGCTTTCCCTGAACGCGCAAGGTTGCTCGATTGAAAACTCCTTGACGAAGAAAGAAAACACCGCACAAGTTTCAACTAAGTAAAAGTCGGAAGAGTGGGCTGTTTACCAAAGAAAACGTTGCCCTTAAGCCAAATTGCTCCAGTATTCACTGCCTACAACGGCCATTACTCCATTGGTTTAATTACCCTAGAAAACAGTGCATAGTCTGACACACAACAAAAACACGAAGAGAGGGACACAACCATAAGCACAATGCGTCGACAACGCATACTATGAGCTCAATGGAGAGTAAGTAATTCTGTCAAAAAATGCTTCATTAAAAGTCTATTGTAGGCCTATTGCGATTATTTTACGTTTTATAATGCAGTCGTCAGGTGCCAACAGTTGGCAGTCATGGTAGTTTTCGTATAGAGATTGGTGTAATAAAAGAAAAAATCATAAGCATTTATAGCAAACTGCGATGTTATTTACTTGTCAGTTATTTGTTTTAAATCCCATTCTTGTAATGCTGGGGACAATTTCAAGAATCAGCCGGTTATCTCAATTATGTGAATGAGAGAATAACGGCGATGAGGCATTTTATTCAACTGTTTTGCTGTAAATAATCGTTTTCATCTGCGAATAGCCGAACAACTTTGTGTGCAGTGTGCCTGCTGTGTCAACAAAAATATTTGTACTCCAGTCATTCCAGTTCAAGTGTTAAAGTGAGCTATTTTGAAATGAAAAAAATGAATGTCAAGTTATAGATTTCTAAAATTACGTGACATTTTACATATTATTTAATGATTGAGAATTAGTTTGGTTTTATCTTCATTGTTTTTATTATTATCAATACTTTTTTATGTGAATCCAACATGAAATAATACTGTTGATGGTCAGGACTCAATGTTTAAGTCAAAGCACACCCTTTTTCTAAAACTTGTTTGTGTTTTTCTGTATTCAATAGATATGACCTAGCAGGTAGTACCGAAGTCTGAACCTCTTATGCGAATGAGCCTGTGGAGCGATGGTGCCCAAATGTTATAATATGGATCTCCTCAATTCTAGTGAAGCTGGTCAACAAAGTAATCTATTGACATCACGATGAAAACATGTGCCAGTACAAAAGACACAAATTTAGAAATGACGCATGCTGGTTTTGATATCTCAACCAATTTGCATTTAGAAAAAAATTTTAGACAATAGAATTCTATGGTTACAAACACATCATTTTCTTACTGTCATCACTTTATTTTTTGAGCAGCTGAACATAACCATCAGGCCCACTTTGGACCCATCTTGCATTTATTCATTTGGCTTGGAAGTAGACGTCCCAATTTGTATCCAAATGACACCTCTGCTCCGAAGCTGTTACGTGTAGATAATTAAAAAAGATGCCTAATGTTCGGAGTGTGTGGAGTAGAAATAACTGACCAAATAACAGTCCTGAAACTTCCATTCAGTTAAGTCCTAGGAGCATATCTCATATTGGATCTAAAGTAGTTTTACCATATCACCATATTTGTTTTTTTCTTGTTTTTCTTTTTTTCTTTTTCTCACTAAATAAATATTTTTAGATGTTGATTTAACTACCACAACTCAAAGTTAGGTGGTCATCTGCTCGAAGTAAACGTTTCTCCATACTGCGCATCGGGGCTGCCTATCCGCTAAGGCGCCTGTGAGATAGGCCGACCCGCGAGTCACCCCTGCGCAACGGGACTGCCCACCCGCCAGGCGCCTGTAAGGCTGTCAAGTCGGCGGCCATTTCTGGTTTTTGCTGTAGTTTCTCTACGATGTTGCGATTGTGGACCACCACCGACGACATTCTGTACAACGTGGTAATTTTTTTTTTTTTTTTTAACTGTCTCGAAAAGTTCCTTCCCTAGAGGTTGAGCGAAACTGAAAAAATTGCTGGAGAACAATATTAATTTTACTGAGTGAACTATATTGCACACGTGCGAATCGCAGCGCTACTCCAGACTCCAGCATGACGCGAGCAGCTGCGTCGGCCATACTCCGCGCCAGCAGGCCCAGCGCTACTCCCTGTCACTGTCATTCCCCAACGAGAAGAACAAGTTCAAAGTGCGGCGTTTCAAACAATCTAGGGTGACTCGACTCATCTGTTGAAAATCCTCACGGTCAAAGTTGGCTTCAGTCTGCCACGTGGCTCAAATTTCGCAGCAAGTGTCATTGGCATTTATTATTTGTATTATAATTAATCCCGTTAGCAGGTAAGTTTGCCGTATAATAATTGATTGGTACGGGCAGGCGCAGGTTGCCCGCCCGGTGGTCGGCCGGTCCCCCGGAGCTGACGGCCGGCCGCGGTCCGGAAAGCGCCGCGTGCCATGCGAGATCACGCCCCGGCCTCCCCAACAGCCTCTCTCTGCGTCTCTCTCTCTCTCTTGCCCCGCCGGCGAGCCTGGCACCTCTCTCACTCGCACCACTGTCGGCGCCGCCGCTTCTCGAACTCTTCCAGCTCGTAAGTATAGTGCGGCGAATGGGCAGCGGCCAGCCTTTCAGTGGGTACGCCTGGGTGGGTACTGACCTTCTCTTGGGTCGCGCCCGCGGCCGGCCGCGCCTGCGTTTGTATGCGGGGGGGGGGGGGGGAGAGGGGGCGTTTGTAAGCAAGCACTTCGTGGGATGGGAGTGGCACGCGCCCATCCCCACGTGGAGCAGATTCCTCGTTTCTTTTAAGCTCCTTTAACCGGTGGTGCCGCGCCGCCGCCGGACGTCCTCACCTGCGACGCCTCCGCTCACTTGTGACACATTAACCGACTCGCCTTCGCCGACTCCGCCGCCGCCGCACCCCGCGCGCACCGGTCGCAGCGCGCGAAAGGCACACACAGAACGGGGGCAGTGGCGAGCGGCAATATTTGACTATCATTTAAGTCTGTTTGTCACACGAAGAGAAACACCACAGGCGTGTGTGTGCAGTCCTCGAGCCGCCGCCACTGAAAACGAATTAACTCCTGACCTCAGTGAGCTGCAATTACAGAGAGGTGTTGGCTGTTCGACCACCCAATGACCCGCGGTCCTCCCCTTGAAAACTACAAATGAAAAAATAAATAAAAAATGTGCGGGTGGAGTGGAGACCATGGAGTTGGGAGTCTTTAGGGCTGCCTCAGCCAATGCAGCTGCGCGTTAGGTCTGCCTCGTCATCGCCACGATGTCGAGATCGAGTCGAGATAACGTCACAGCGGTCCAGCAGCGACCAAGCGCAGCCTCCCCGGTCGTGAAGGCTGCATTAGGACGCCTGTTTGGAGTCGGTGGCTCCGTCGAACGTTCTCAGCCCGTCCTCCTGATACTTTCTGGCTTTCTGGTTCTGGTATCAGGCGGTACGTACAGTTCGCTCATACACGCACGAGACGCTCCTGCACAGTAAAAAAAAAGTCTGCAATCAAGCACCAGTTAAAACCAAACTATATAAACACACTTCCCGTGAAAAACGGAACGTATATGGAACCTATATGGTTCATATATTAGCTGTATATGTCTACTTTGTGCATGTATATCCCGTGCATATATATGCCCGTATATAACCCACACATGGCTCGCAAATGGCTAGTACATCATACATACATGGTGGATTATGTCGCACATGTTCCCCCATATATGTGTGATGCATTCGCCATATGCGTGCCATATGCGGGTTGTATACGGGCATATACGGAGGATCGGAGGATACATATGCACAAAGTAGACATATACAGCTAATATATGACACATATACGCTCCCTTTTTCACGGGATTTAATTGTAAGTGGGGATGTAGGGTGAGTGACACTGAAAGTCTAGTTTGAAACTGCACTTTTGAAGGACAGCGACAATTTTTATGACTGAAGGCTTGCCTTTTTTTTACAGTGCAACATGTTTTTACCTCAGGTTCAGGGCCACCTTAAGCCGTCCTTCTGCTGCAGCCGCGGGCCCCTCTTTTCCCACATAAGCGTGCCTTTTGAGAACGCGGCCCTGGATACACCTACCTCAACATCATTGCCGAACACATCGAGAAGAAAGAAAGAAAATAAAAATTACGCCGACGTAAGCTCCGGCCTCCTTTGCCCGGGGGCCGGGCGGGCCGCGTCCGGGCCGGGCCGGGCCAGGGTGAGCGCGGGGAGCGGCACTCTGAACCTTTTTATTGTGATTGTATTCCTCCACGCAGCGCAGCGCACCGTCCACGGCGGGGGCCTTGGCGAGCAAGCAGCAGCAGAGCCCGAAGCTGTTCGAAGTGTCATGCCTGCTGTCTTCCAGGAATTTCCACCCCCCGTACCCCCACTATATCTTTTCGGCCTCTGCGGACTCCTCGCTCCCCCTCCCCTCTCCTGACTGGCTGGACACTGCCTCCACCTGCCCTACCTTGCCCCTCCCCCACCCAGCCCCACCCCACCTCACCCCGCCCCGCGTGGACACCGGTCTGGATTCTGGATTCCCTCTCCTGCCTAACCACAGTGGCACGCAGCACCCACCGGGTCCGGTGCACACAGAAGGCAGCAGGTGGAAATGCGGGTCTCGGTCAGCTTTCACTTTTGATCCGGCGACTCGCGCTGATCTCATTGGATCTCATTATTAAGTAACGTGAGAAATCTTGCGTCACATCTTTCTCGTGCATTGATACAGATCAACAAGAAGTACAATGAGTTTATACAAGGCGATGGCAGCAGCGTGCAGACGGCAGAGATGGGCCGTGCATAGCGACCTTCATGGTTCTGATTGCTTCCCCGTTACATCTTGACGCGCTAATCGAATGACGCGGCGAATGGCTGTGCACAGCTCCACCCGAGCTCCATTCATATCGCACGGCTGTAAACCGATGACGGTCCCCACGTGGGGGGCGGGCGTAAGTGATGTCGGCTAGCTGAGGAGGGGGGGGGGGGGCTGGCTAGGTGACCCACAGGCACGCCGCCGCCCATCTCGAGCTCAGGGCCGACGCGTACTACTCGAGGGCCACGGCCACGAACGGGGAAACAGGCGCGCCGACGAGGCTCGTTATTCCCAGACTACGTGAACAACCCGCCAATGCATGCATGTGAGTGCCTTCCTTGCTCAGCGGAGCAGCTGCCCAGTTGTGTTGCGGGGAGGGGGGG